TTGTTTTTTAATGTTAGGATGTTCCATACTACTGTAATAGGCCGGCGGTAACTGTAAATACCCTTTACGTCAACTTAAAAATTGGTCTTTGTAGTTGGCTTGATTGCGCCTGATAACTGCGGTAAAAGACATGTGCAACATTCTATTATTGACAATTCTAGATTACAATCGGAGTTACTATTGCTATGCTATGCTGTGTTTAGAATTATGTGTATCTTGGCATGGGCTTTAATGATTTGCAAGAAGTAGTTATTACCATAACAACCTACAATAAAAGTGTCGGTAGCGTCGTAGTAGGTCATAAAAGCCGTTCTCAATCAACGGCTTTTATGGCATGCGGGCGCTCTGTAAATTTTAAAAGACATTAATTTTAAATAAACTCACTACTCAAATTTATAAAACATCCAAATGCTGCATTTGATGCCAAAGTAGCCACATAGACATCAAATGGAAGGACTCTTAGTCTGGTGGTACTAGGCAAGTTCTTAGAGATTATATTTTCAAAACTAATATCGGTGTTTAAAAGTGATTTTTATTGATACAATTATAATTTAATTTAAATGAGTAAAGGATTGTGAATATAATATTTGTGATATATATGTGATTGTGAATAAATATATATATATACATATATGAAAATACTCTATACTTTACAATCAGTAAAAGAGATACATAAACTTTAAGTTTAGTTGCTAACCTTACAATAGGTATATCTATCTTAACAACTCAAATAAAACATTACCAGTGATTACGTCTCTCCATAGAAGAATTGAAGCAGAGATATTCGACTAAAAAACTTAGATTACACCCAATTCTCTAATGTTTTTTTCCTTTTTTAAAGGTTAAATAGTTCATGCGTAAATTATGTAAAAGATGCAAGATTTTGATATATTTAATTCTAAGTTCAGGTAATGGGTATCAATAGTCGAAATGGAGTAGATTTATTCACTAGCGACCTTGTTACCCGTAACTTCGTAAGATCATTATTTGTGTCATTATTTGTTGACAGTTATTTTCTCTGTTTAGAAAGAATTGTTTAGTTTTTTAAACTTTATGTGCACTTCATTTTAATTAATAATAAGTGTAAGGTTTCATCAGTCAGGCTCTTTCATCTTTACAATAAAGCATATACAGAATACCTAACCTACTCCCTGCTACTCTGGATCTTCAGTCTGTATATATCTAGTTTTAATCGTTAGATTAGTGGCCAAATAGCAAACCACATTGATCATAGAGCCTATCTCAAGTTAAGATCACTGACCAGAGCTCTAAGCCTGTAAGAATCAAAGGGTATATGTTTAAGATAGCAAGATCAAGACAGTAGACGAGCAATGATGTACCAAGTGGAATGTGACCAAAAAAAGACAAACGTATAAAACCTTTACACCACGGTAAGGATAGGTAGGTAGGTCAGACGTGTGACCAGACTAGACAAAGTACAGAATTCTCCTTCCTAAATACTATTATTTACTCACTTACTTACTTTACTTTTACAATGCTTCCTGTACGCTAAAAGACGTTATAACTAATAAAGACTGGAATGACCGATGAAAAAATTACGACTTTTTACTGAAAATTTTCAAATTGTTTTTTAATTGGTACTGTATTATTAAAAACCATACAACTGAATTATATTAATACGATACCTTTTTACCTTAATAAAGTTTTTTTTTTGTTGACGGGGTGGAAAATTCCTTCGGATCTCCTGCCCGGAGACCACTGCGCCCCATTCCTCCCTACCCGCCAGCATGGCAGCAATAATTGCTGGCGGGATGCCTATCTGAATTTCCAGAAACAATATTAACACATAGTATGGTACTCAGGCGCCGAGCAATTTATGAATCCGCTGAACACACACTTAAAAGCGGTGATCACTTACACTTACACCTATTCCCAATCCGCTCTAGTTATACTCATCGGGAGTAAGTTATTAAGTTTAGTTTTCTTTATGCAGAAAGCATGTATATTAATAACATAAATTTATTTATTTATTTATTTATTCAGTAACAATAAAACTTGTGTTTGAAATGCTAACATGTTAACTTAAGTTTCTAACGAATTTAATTTATATAATGCAATACAAATAGATAAATACAAAAACAAACACATGCAGTCAAAAATTCAATGTCATTAAAATACTGTCAAAATTGTGGTTAGGTAATTTGAAGTTGTCTCTGGGTTTATTATGTAATATACCAATATGAATGTCGATAAAATACCGGGGGGGATACAATTTATAAAATTTGCAATTTTTCCAGATCCATGAATAGACCATTCACTCAATGCTCAAAATCCGCCACAGAATAATAACACTTTTCTAGCAATAATTCCTTCAATCGGGATTTGAACATGTCTGTGTTATAAACCATCTCTTTAAGGTGGACAGGTAATCGATTAAATAACTCGACCGACTGATATCGAGCACAATGCCTGACTATATTTAGTTTAGGTGCTATTTTATTTTTTAGAGCTTTTCGCCGTGTTAATTCTCTTTCTTCTCGTTCACGTCCTGTCTCGTATTCGTGTATGTACTTAGCGAAGTTGGTAAGTATAGTCAAAATGTATAAGCAAGGGACTGTTAAGATTCCTAAGCTCTTGAAATGGTTCCAGCAAGAGTCACGTTGTGAGATCTGAACCATTATTCTAATAGCACGTTTCTGCAGAACAAACGCCCTGTGTACATTATACTCGTAACTATTTCCCCAACACATTATGCTATACCTAATCTTGGACTCCACTAACGCATAGTAGACGGCTTTAAGTTGCTTGATACCTGTGATATCCCTTAAGCTCCTCAACGCATAACACGCGGAAGAGATACACGAATCCAATGATGCCAATTCCGGTTTCCAGTTAAGTTGCGAATCTAAGTTGACACCTAAAAATTTTGTAGTGCCGACTAATGAGATCTGGTTGTCATGTAATTTGATTTCCAATACATCTCTATTTCTAGATGTTGTTTTAAAAAGTATTATATTTGTTTTATTACTATTAATCAACAAGCCATTAGCCGAAAACCATTCGTCCATGGTAACTAATATTCTATTTACAGATGAGTTCAAGTCTACTAGATTTTTTGCTCCTATGACTATGTTAGTGTCATCTGCAAATACTGTTATTTTTGCATCTGGTCGTATCCTCTGCGTGAAATTTAGAAGGTCGTTTGTAAATATTATGAACAATATGGGACCTAATATTGACCCTTGAGGAACTCCGCGTTTAACATTTATTATGTTGGATTTGTGAATAGTTTCAAGGTTTTCTTCATTGAGTTTTTTGATTTGAACGTACATACGTCTATTTTGTAGATAGGAAGACATAAGTTGCAATGCTTTATCTCTCACACCATAATGTTCCAATTTCGATAAAAGTAGACCATGGTCTATAGTATCAAAAGCAGAACTCAGGTCAATGAATATCCCTACCACTTTCATACCCTCATTCATTTTCACAATTATATCATCCACCAATGTATGGATGGCATCTGCGGTACCAACCCCTTTTTGATATCCAAATTGCCGGCTATTAATGACTCTTTGCAAGTTTAAGTGTGTCATTAACCGACTTTTCATAACTCTTTCGAAAACTTTTGAAATCGTAGGTAGCAGCGAAATCGGTCTGTAGTTTTTTGCATCACCCTTTGACCCCTTTTTGTGTATAGCGATAACTTTTGCCAATTTGATTTGATCCGGAAACACTGACTCACTCATGCATCTGTTAATAAACTGTGAGAGTGGATAAGCAAGGGCATTGATATTCTCTTTAATTATTTTAATTGGGATTTCGTCATAACCACAAGAGGTTGTATTTGCCATTTGAGCTACTAATTTTATTATTTCATTGGGACATGTGGGTGTAAAGTTCTAACTCAAACTTAAGGAACAATGGCAAATTAGTTATCGTTGTTAATACTACATTATATGTACATTTCTGATCTTTACAACAACTTAATAAACAAAACAAAATATATGTAGCGTTTTAGCTCTAAACAAAAACTGAAGTTCAAATTTGTATAAATTTTTTTTAAAGAATTCTTTGGATTATATAAAGTGTATTAGGCACTAGTAACCACAGTCTATGGTCAAGGTCAAAATCTAGTATTAATATTAATAGAATAAGATCAGGCGGACTGTGTGTTTAAGCAGTACTTTGAAAGTGTAAACAGAATGCATGAATAAATCAATGATTTATATGTAGGTAATGGTAATGTGTAGGTATAAAACTAAGTTTTAATTGAATTAGATACCATGCGTTACGAGCAAATCAAACTAAAGTTTCGAAGTTGTAATTTTCAATTTTCCCAAACATATTTCTTCGATTTCATTTTGTACACCTGGCCACCACCATTTTTTATTTATTGCGACAGCTTCAGAAGCAACTGAAATTGACGGCCGGAGTAATGACCACTATAGAACAAAATTTCAAAAATTATTTCCTATTTTTTCACTTTTGGTTAAACTAACGATGATGTTTATTATACAAATCAATCGCCAAATAATCGTAAACTGTCGCAAATATTATTTGCACTAGTTAGATAACACATTTGGCTGATAGCATCCGATAATCTTGAGAAGTAGGTTCCTTGCCCGATAAAATATATGTTTTTTTACTAATATCGTTTAGTGTTTTATTTGAAAATACTTTTCTTTTTCTAGGTACATTTCAATCGATCGACAACATCAAAGGTGGACGTTATGTCATCTTCATTGATTGTATGTAAATATTTCAGCAAATATGAATGTTGATGAATGTTTTACTTTATTTCCCTACAGATATAGTATCTAGAATCGTACGTCATGACCAAACAAGAGTAAGCACTTATTATACTCATACTCCTACATATGACAGAAATTCAATTTGTATCTTTTCGCGGCCATTTTCACCGCGAGTTGTAAACTAATTTCAGTTTCAGTTAAATCAAAGTGTGAATGACATGATTTTAACACTTGTACTGGGTTATCTGTTTGTTAGGGGAGTAAGATTCACTGTCAGCTTCGACCATGGCATTGGTAGAAGAGACAGGAGTGCGGTTGGTGGAAGCGGGGATCGAAGTCATGGTGTTCCGTCTCGCTCTTGCGCACCAGTTCATTCACCCGCGCTCACGGCGAGTACGGAAGAGCAGCTTGTTGCGCGGGCGCAGGTACCGAGGCGGGCGGACGCTGTACACGGGTAGCCGCGCAGGAAGGACGTCTCCGACCATGAACCGAGCTATATTTTATCAGTTATCCGGAGGTGTCGGCGCGCCACAACGTGTGCCAGTACGCTCCATCATGACCCTCTAATATTACGATACTCAAGTGACGTTTTGCATTTAACTAGACTGAAAGCAACATAGATCTCAAGATAAGACTTATTTTTATAATTTATATATTTTTAAGTGACGGTTTAGAGTGAGATGTGGATTTATTTTAAGTGTTAGTGAAAACATAAACAAACTTTTCCATTAGGATTATACACTTTGGATTTTTCTTCTAACCATTCATCGCTGGAGGATTGTGCATCTAATGGTTAGTATTAAAATATAACTCTCTTATATTAACAAATAACACTCACTAAACCACTACAATGGGCTTCCTTCGATTTTTTCTTACAATCAAAAGACATCAACGCGCGTCTTAGTTTTGCATTAGAAATATTTAATATTTTATAAGAACACGCATCACTAAAACACTTACATTCTGTTATTGAAAAATATACAAGTAATCAAATTTCATAACACACTAATCTTGTAGTACATTTATCTGTAATAAATTGCTTTGCATTTTCTTCAATTACTAATATATTTTAATATAAATAATATATAAATAATTTCCTTCTTATTTAATTTCTACAAATATTACTAAACAAATATAGTTGTAAAATTAATGGAATAAAGGTATTGCTTATAGATACTAAAGCTTTTGAAAGTTTATAACATAATAATTAACAAACTAAACAATATAATTTGATTATTATAATATAAAATCAATTTGTATGTATAGTACATATAATTTTAACTTTAAATTTTAAAAGTCGCAAAAGACTAAACATATTTCATAATCAATAAATAGTAACAATAATGTAAATATCAGATTGACTGACGAGTCCACTTTTTTGGGATGGCAATTACATTAATTTCGAGGCTATCCACGCACACACGCACACCTATTGTTGTTGCGTCGTCACGGGCTGTGCAAAAACAAAGCCTTGAACTTATCAAGTTCAAATTCAAGGCGAAATAAACACACGTGATCTTCCTACGCCAGAGTTACGTAATCCAACCCTTGCGATGAGTTATATCATGCCATTTGATTCATTATTACGCAATATCGCGGTCGATATATAATTACATTTATGATGTAGGAAATTAATTAACAAAAAAATCTTTAAATCTCACTCATACTAATCTCACTTATATTAGTCACGAAACATGATTCAAAACATACCAAAAAATGATAGAGCTACTATTGTTACCATTTAAAATTAGTTCATTGACCTTTAAAATTTAATATAAAAGTCAGTTTATCTAAAACTCATGTAACTATTATACGTGTTTATTAACCTTGACGCTAAAATGCATCTATCTTAATTTGATAAAATAATTAAATTAAAGGCCAAACCATCACACCTACGTAAAAATAAGTATTTGCGTATGAAGAACGAACAAAAATGTAGATGGAGGCGAAAAATAATAATTTAAGCGAGCTCGACGACAAACAAAAGTGATCCCAATCTGAAACCCAAAAGTCGCAAATTAGCATGCGCTCCACTCGCCGCTGTTTCGGCAATGACAATGACAACGACCGATGATATAACAGAAGGCTGTCAAACCCGTGAAAACTCGGTCATTGAACCGCGCGCTCGCGGCTAACCCCACTTCTTGCCGCGTTCGCTCTTGCGATTTTTACATTTACCGTGTTGAATATAAAGCTTAATTTTAACTAGTATACGTTTAAAAAATATACAGTTAAAACTTAGGCTGAAAATTCGTGACGCAAGTGTATGAAAATATATCACCTTATATGTTTTAAATAACATGGCATCTAGTTACATAAACAAAAAAGAGGAATGATATTACTCTATGACTTGATGGGCAATGACTCTAGTTGTCAACAACTATGACGTGGGTGCGTTTATATGGCCTTACGTGGATCATCCATTGTTAACTTGTGGATGAGATTTCATTTTGTTTCATCTCATGAATATTTAAGATTAGCTGTTATTAGGCTTTCATTTTAAACATACAAAAGATACCAGAATTAGTAATAAGGATATGTTTTATTTAAATGTTATATGATCATATTATTGTAGGTACTATCACGGTCTGGAGGATAACTTTTATTACAGATATGCTATTCTGACCTGCTCGAGCTATTGCTTACAATCCCCAATCCGTCCGTATAAGCTGTATCGCTTGCCTGCTATTGCCCTTCCTTTTAAATATACTCACAATTTACAATGTAATTCTTAATTTCACCTTAAAAAGTCTCATACTGTGTGGACTAATATTATAGATGACAAAATGTGGGCGTTTCCTACATTTTGTCCTATTCCTTCAGGGATTTAATAAATTCGTCCAATCCAATCATCTAAATAATCTATCCAAAACAAAACAATGCAAGCAGTCCGTAATGAGCCTAGGTGTTTGGCAGACGCAGAACGACCTCCGTCCTCCATAAGCGCAGGCCTGGGGGTGACAGGTGAGGCCATCTGTCACCCTAGCAGAAGCAGGCCGGGGTGGCGGCGAGCGCGTTGCGAAGCGCGCTCGCTTCCAGGGAGCACAGGGAACATGGGGTTCCCACACGGGGCGGGGGTCGTCTACTCGTCTGTAGATGACCCGAGGTATGTCGGGGCACCAGGGCCTTCCTTTCTAGGGTATACCTGGTTCCCCGGCAATTAGTACCCGGCGAAGGCGTGCGGTTTTAGTCGGTTCGAGTCCGACATGCCACCGACAGGTGGTATCCGAGGGGATTTCCGCACGGGAAAAAAAAAAAAAAAAAAAAAAAAAAAAAAAAAAAAAAAAAAAAAGGTGTTTGGCAGAATATTTCTCTGAATAATTCAAATTGAAGTATAGTCCCAAATATATTAATTAACTAAAAATAGAGGAATTTTATCAAATAATGTCTACAGCTTCCATAAAATCGTAACGTCATTTAAAAATTAGACGTTTGTTTCTAGTGCTATATTCTTGCCTCAGTAGCACTAACTATTGTACGAAAATGTGAATCTGGCAATAAATTTTCATCCATCTTTAATGGAGTTTCCGATTACTGAAATCGATGGGTCAGTTTCATCATTGGAGCCTAAGAAGGCGAGTTTACCAGGAAGGTCCTTGATGGGTAGAAAGTAAATGTTGAGTGCGAGGCACGCGCGTGGCAGCGGGAGGTCGTGGGGGCGAGGGGAGCGCGGCAATGCGTAGAACCTGTTCGAACAACGGTACATCAATATCAAGCCCCGGGCGCACACGCACCCATTATGTAATAAGTAATAACCTTTTTCTCGCTCGACTGCGTCGTCCCTGCAACACATATGACATAAGCTTTCCATTACAATATCGGTTTTTTAAATCGATAGCAATTTCCATTGTAGTAACTCATAAAGCAACAATTTATGTGTGTATTTTTTTATACAATAGGGGGCAAACGAGCAGACGGATCACCCGATGGAAAGCGACTACCGCCGCCCATGAACGGCTGCAACTCAGGAGTCACTCTCTCTTTAACGAAGGAGTACGCTCTTTTCTTGAAGGTTTGAAAGTCGTATCGGTCCGTAAACACCGCAGCCGATAGAGATATTAGATAATGTTCTGCGTGTCAACTCAATAGGCCCATCCTCAGTAGAAATGATAAGTGATATCAGAAAGACCGCCCTCAGTAATTTCGCTGAAAAAAAACGCTTGCTGTTATTGGAAATATATAAAATGAGGCTAAGATGGCTAACGCAAATAAATATAAATTTTATGTCATTTGTTAAATGGCTTCTCGATGAAGTCATTAAGTAAACTAAAAATTAATTGAACGACACATCTACAAAATTAATAATTAATCCTATAATTTGTACCTCAAATGTTACATTACGTTTGTACTTTAAATAATGTAGGTGTTGAGAGAATTACCATTTACTAAACTATTTATTATTCAACGTTAGTTATGAAAGTAAATTCACAGGAAGTGCAACAAGCACGTGTTTGTTAAAATAACGATGACAATGTATGTCCCATGAGCATATGAGCAACTACAGTATGTATGCCAAGAGGCTTCCGGTGGTCATCCAACGGTTACCGTACTATAATTTGTAGTAAACACCGATAGTGTTATACGTTAAAATAGGTGATGAGTAAAGTGAACTACATAAAAGCATTATGGGCTATCATGGCTGCGAGGCGGTAACGTAAAAACGTGACAGAACGATACCTGTTGACAAGCGATACATATTATTGCTTTTTGGTATTGAAGATGTATCGAAAATGACAAATTACTTAAGAGGTCATATAATTACGCTAATGACACAAGCAAGACATTTAAGCTACATTTCATTAAGCTAATGACAGAGCAAGTCTCTAAACAGAGTCATGGCTGATCAGGCAAACGCAAGTCACGCGAAAATATTTGAACAAAATCGAAATCTCAAAATTCGCATAAGTCCGAAATACACACTTTAGTAAAACTGTATACCACCCATATAAGTTTTTATAGTATTTCCTAAAGTTTGTTATCACAAAAGCAAACATAAGTTTTCGATAAAATTACGCAGATAACAAATAATTTTTGAGTAAAATTGTCACTGAAGTATGGCGATCATTTATAATTATGGTATAAATTACTTAGAAAACAAAAATACCAGCGGGTTTACGTGTCTCAGTATTTACATGTTAGGGCAAGTCCTGAACATTGATTTTTTCATACAAACGACCCATCCCTTTTATAAAGCTTTCTGAATAATATTGCAAATATTTACGATAAATATGGACTTCAAATGAATTTCATATTTTCACTAGTATAGTTTTTTATGAACACTAATCCAATGTTTCTCATGCCAAGAAAAGAAAAGGATACATTTCAGTGCAGATTTCTGAAACGAACGAACGAACCAACGAAATGAAACCAATATCTTTGTTACAATAGATTATAGGTTAATCAGCCTCCATCTTGACTAATCTTTCTTCTTTGTTCTTCAGCTGTACTTGTTTATAATCATTAACATTACTTAACGAATTTCACTTCTCAATTTTAAGACAATAGTTTATCCAATAGGTAAATAGGGGCTTGTAAAAACTGCGTATCAAAGAGGAAATGCAGAAATAAAATGTTACAGATTTTTTATGTTATGAAATGTTTCTAAGATCGTAGGTATTAAGCCATAGGGCAAAGAGGTCGATGCGTCCCACCGGCTTCTGATTTCACCGTCCTATTTCATTTTTTATCGACACAACCTAACGGTATAGAGAGTCAATAGACATCGTACAAATAAAAGCATGTGTTCAACCTGTGGGAAACTGATAGTTACAGAATATGCAGGGCTCAAAAATGTTCACAAATAATATTAGCTGCAAATATTTAGACTAATTTAAACAAAGACTGTTTAAGGGGTTGCAAGTTAGAAATAATTGTTTCAATAAAAATACATTTTAGGAATAAAAACTGAGTAATATTTTTTTCAATGACTACCTACTGGTAATAATAATTGATAGTTCGCAAAGGATGAATTAATATAAATATTAAGTAAACAGTTATTTGGTTTTATATTTAAGGCACAATGCCTTCTATAAATCATTAAAGAAAATGCAAAACATTAAATATCAATTTTTAACTGTTACTCTTCATATTATAAAATGTATATTAAATTGTAAAGAGAATGAAGGTGACCAGTGCCATTTATTAGCATTTTAATAGCACTCGCATCAACAAATAGGAAAAATTATTAACTAAAACTTATGAATGAAGTGTATATTGTGCTATAATTTAAGATTGCCTTTTTATTTATGTGTAAAATGCATCACTTTATATGCAAGAAATCATTATCTGTATGGACAAGACAAAACAAATCAATTACTTGAATGTACTCAATAGTCGTCACACTGTAATGGTTTTAATTTCCATACATACCACTTGCTTAATTTCAATTCGCTATGTCTAGAAATTTCTCCCATACTTTTCACCTCCATATTATTAGGAGCTAACATCATATAACTGCATACATGTGCAGTCCTGAGTTGTTGAGTATATATTATTGTTGTCTAGCGGTATATTCCTATGCGTGTTGATTCACAATATGAATCACTGTAGCTGTAAACCGCGTTAGCCTGAGCGACATAACAGGACAACTCTCAAAGGTTAGCGAATAATTTTGCAGGTGTACGTGAATACGCGGATCAACAAAAAAGCGATCATATTTCATACTCTCTTGATAGTCGTCTCAAACAGATCTAACGGGACATTCCTACACAAAGGTTCTACGGTGCCGACATTTTTTTCGATTACCGGTCCCTACCTGTGATTTAACCGAACACTTGATGTAGGTATACCTTTTTTGAGTGCTACCCGTAGATAATCTATTTATGATGTGGTCTTAGGTGTGTACACCATTATGGAGCAAAATGCCTATACTTATATAATGAGAAGCACCGTCATCACTAAAATATAGTTGCCATTAATAATTATCTACTAGCCACCATAAAGAGATTAAAAAATACACATTAGGTGGTATAAGGAACCCAAAACTAACAAAGGAAAGTAAACCGTCGATGTGGTTTGTTCGATCGATGAAAGTAAAGGCCTGAGTAGACGGCCGAGCAGTCCCGTTAGCCGGCCCGAGCTCGGGCTCACAGAATACTAAACGCTGACATACTGCGCGGCTTTTGACCCTAGCTACATTCTAGTCTAGCACTTCAACACTTCTGTGCACCGATTTATATTACAAATAAAATTACACCTACTTAAGTTGAGCATAAAATAGAGACAATACGGCATATTACAATGAAAAAACAAATCACCAGTCATAAAATATATTTGAGCGTTTAGTGCTTTAGGGAAAAAGTACAGAATACTAACCTTGGAAAGTCCGTTGGTCAAACATAATTGCATAATCTAAAAAAACGAGGTTTTATGACTACACGATTGTCTGCATACTGCTCACGATCCTTCCAAGACTTGCATTTTTTCTACGTTAGAAACACATTGTTCTAACCGTTTTGTATTCTCTTAAAAAACATACGCTATTGAATTTGCTAAAAGCAAGAAAATACAATTTGCGCAAATGGCATTTTTTAGAACATCCTTTTATAACACGGACGCAATTGGCCATTAAACCTGGAGGGTCATTTTTTCACAAATATACCTTTGTGATCTCTATGTTTACTCAATACTATTGTTATATTGAACAATTGTAAAACTAGGCCGACAAAAGAAAATTGCGTATTTTATGCCAAAAGTAAAAATTTCTTACACGTCGTAAACCTTGTACGAAGAAAGGGGACGACGGATTAGAGATTTAGCTAGACTGATCGGAATATTTTGTAAAGTACTAACTATGTTGATAGGGATGTAGGAGAGGACAACGACCCTACGCAAAATTCGCTGCATTGGGCTAGTCGTAGTGCATGCGCGTATACTCGTATAGCGGCACCAACGCGGAAGCATGGCGAGCGGGAGCGCGCTATGCGCTCAGTCCCAGTCAGAGAGGGAAAAACGCATGAATGAGTATTGAAGCCTATCCCAAGAAGGGGGAAATTGAGTTTACACTGCGGGTACCAACACTTACACAGATATACACGAGCCTTATGCATTAAACGAAATAGGATCAATAGCGCTATACCATCAAAACTGTAATATAGCCTCACTACAGACTCCTATAGGAAAAGAAAACCTATTCTCATATTATAACTACAAATTTCTAGTACATACTAGCCATATGTATTATATATGCATAACAGATAAATAAAATAGATAAAAGTAATCATGAGAATCAAACTCCAGATATGTTCTATATTGGTCTATTTGTTCGGTGCCTGGATGTAATTTATATTATTTTTTTAATTTTATTATTTACTAGTTGTATTCTGCCATGCTTCACTGTGGAACATTGAGCCTGCATTTTTGAGGCGGTTCGTATATCGTGTCAAAATTTGAGCTCAATCACATATTATAGATACAGAGATTACACATATAATTAACCTACAATAAATGTATGTATGTAATATTTAAGTATGTTTATAAGTAGTCTGGTTACCATAGCACTGTCTCTGCCTAGTTTAGGATCAGACTACTATGTGTGAAATGTGTAAAGTTATTAGTTATTGCATGTTTGTACATAGAACATATCTTTGCGTATATGTATCTATCTATCTATTTAAAGCTAACAATAAAAAGTGCTTATTACCAAAGTTTAAGCTTTATAACTCTTCCTTAAGTAATAATAATATTGCTGTTACAAGCTAAAAATGCTTGTACCAAAAGACAATAAATGCATTTCACTATAATTATGAATTTTGGACATGAAATGTTTTTCATGCTACTAAAAGGGATGATATTATGTTAAAAAATTCGAAACATTAATATTATTACAACATATTTTTAATAAAATATTTCATTTAGACCGACGCCATAACTAGTTACGAGATGAATTTACTAAAGAACAAACTAGTATAAACTATCGGATCGTTATCTTCAAAAGTTTCCCATAGTATTATAAAATAAATTGCTTCTTGAAGTTCCCATTACGATTCCAAGGAAAATTTGTGATGTGATGTCAACGACCCTGTGCCCAATACTCGTACAGTAAACGCATTTCCCGGCGCACACGAGCGCAGCGTGCGATTTATTCGCGCAACGGGCGGCTAGGCGTGAGCGAGACACCGCATAGCGCCGGGCGACGGGGGTTAGCGTAGTGGGACGAGGCGGCAGCGGCCGTTCACCCCGGAAGATTCAGTGTTTTGATACCGCTCAAGCCTCCGCCGACGCTGGAAAACTGCATTTTCTTTGATACGCTTCGCTTTTCACGCTCTAATTGACCAACAATCGGATAATTTCGTTTTTAAACGTACGATTTGACTTGCGAACTTGTACAAATTATCTCTCTCTCTCTCTAATATTTATTTTGACAAAAAAATATTGACAGCTCATTTGTTATAATTTTATAGATAATAAAAGAGAAGAAGAAATGCTGGTAAAATCATAGTAATGAACAATTACCGTGTTTGTATTAGCACAGGCATAAATACATACCATGATGGTAACATTAACAATTAATTAAAATAGGTTTTACAGAAACTTCTATATCGAAACTTAACAAATTCCAAATTTGCTTAAATCTATTATGATGTATATTTTAATGAAATTACATGTTAAAGTATATAAACATGTCTAATATAAACTAAATGATATAGGATATCTAAGTCATACAAACACAAAAGTATATTAAAGTCGAACTCATTTTCATGATTCTTATTCTAAAGTTGTTGCAACTTCACAAAATCTATATTAAGCACGCGTACACAAATACCCACATCCCATCATCCCTTACTATAATGTGTAAATCGATAGAGGCTATGGCGAATGCGTCTCGCAATAAGTGGAGTCTGAAAAGGCAACACTTTAGGCTTTGGGGTAGATCGCGCATGATTGGGAAATACTAGACGTTATGGCAGGTCGTGGTTTGAAAGGGTGCAATATAACAGCTGAGCGTTATTTTCAAACGCTATCCTGTAAAACCATTGACACAATTATGTTTTACTTAATATTGTATTAACATGAAATTATAAAATATATTTTTATTATATACTAAATCGGGGGATTTAGTATGTAATAAAATTATGAATAGGGATTCGTCGTAAGTCGATTATATTTTAGAACTTAGACTAAACACTTTGTGTCAGAGTGTTTTGCAGCTTTTAACAGATTACAGGCTGATAGTGAAATCAATATTGGATAATGGTAGGTGGCAGGGTGCGCTGTGGTGGTGCCGACAGAGAACTGGATAATCCACCCCTACTACAAATATTCAACTCCACCATTTTTTTAAACAAAAGTGCTGTAAGTAAGGAAATACGATTTATTCTACAGAAGATCTGTATTATTTAGGTTCGTTAATGAACTGAATAGTTTGTTATGAAATGAAGGTTACGATCGAGAATGAGAGGTAGGGTGCATGTGCCGCCTGTGTCGACGACCCGTGAGAGTGAAAGCGTGTTCCGGGGAGGCGCACGGGCGATCGCCGCCCGCCCTGGCATGGCTTTCGCTGCCGTTCTCGCGACACCCGCTCGCAAGTTGTTTTCCATTTTTATTAATTAGAACTTTTTGAGTAATGACTACTTAAGTAGTCACAAAAAATGTGAATGTTTTAATAATCGGTTTATCAATTTCTTTATAAGTGAAGTGCAGTAGCAGGTACAACTAATTTATATCATTATAAATCTTAGTAAGAGAACCTCTCTGTCAGCATTAAAGACTGAAAAGACGAGAAACAGAAGGTTTAAAAAAATTATGATGTAAATAGTATTTTTCTTAAATAATTTGCAGAATGCGCTATTTCTAAAATAACAGATTTATACGATAACAGCCAAGAAGGTAATAATATTAACATGAACATATCATTATGCATTTCTGCGGTTACGATAGCGATGATCGCCGCTAAAGTGGTCAGATCGAGTGCACGGTCAGGGTGCCCGCCGCGGTCGCCGCCTGGACTACGGAAGTAATGAACTTGAATGCAACTAGCGGGCGCAATGCGCTGTGCCGTCCCGCTCTCGTCTAATAAGAGAACAGGAGGCGCGAACGTGACGTACTCACTGCATTTGCTGTCAAATTCGTCCGCATTCTCCGTCACAGGCCGCTTTCGTCGTCGATGCGTTTATCGGAACGAGACGCGAATATGTGTGTCGATTGCATTCTCGGCGTCGTAAAAGTGCATCTAGGTCGGTGGGCATAGCGGCGCAGCGTCGTCGTCGGGTTAGTACGACGCGCTCGTCGGCTAGACGTGAGGCAGGTCGGCAGCACGGTGGCCTCCGCGTTGCATAATGCGCGGTGTGCTCCACCGGCGAGCACGGTGAGAGGATACCGGCGCGATCCCGCGCCAGCCGCATCCAGCCCCGATCAGCGCCAGCAGCTGGCCACTCGGCCACCAGCGGACGAAGCACGGCCGTTGCGCCGACATGAGAGCGGCGCTCCGGCTGCGGCCCCTTGTCCCACTGCTGGCGCTTCGCATACTCCTCGAGTACCTCAAGTCGCTCGACGTCGCCACTCGCCTTATAGGCACCTTCACGGATATCCAATATTTATGCACCAAAGACGATAGTAAACCTTGGTTATCCGCGCTAATGTAATAATAAAACGCGTAAATTGTTAATAGTATCTCAAGAATGGCTTGAACGATGAATATTTATGATTGTAAGTATTACTAATCTATTTTTTCCATTTACCTATTACTCTCGGTTAAGACGATGGACATTATACGAGTATATCATAAAATAATTTACTAGAGAAAATTAACGTTCGAATCATATTTATAGCTTCACGATGCACATAAATTCAATATAGAAATGTAATGAAGTACGAATAGTGAACTGCAATAATTTACGGAGATAGAATACTGAATAATTGTGTAATTTTGTGGCTGTCCTTGTGTTTTTTTTTTCAAAAATATTGTGCAACTATTACTAACTATATTTATATGAGAATATATTCAATGTTATAAAATTCATTTTAAGTGATTTGAATTCCGCATTTGAATATATCAGCATAATCTTTATCTAGTCGATAGGTACTCATGTCTATTTGCAGTACAAATATCTACGTATTAAATGTATTATTAGCCTGCAAGGTTAGTGTTCCCGTTGCACACTCGTATAGCTATGTAATCAGTGGATACAATATTCGTCTCTATTTTACAACATTACTTTTATTAATTTGGATTTGGATATAATATTGCTCTCATCCTATCAACATGGTTAACAATTCCATGGAAAAGTACAAACAACTATAAAAAAAATACCTGTCTCACTGTAGTAAGTACTAATTGCAAATTTTGTTCTTAATCCTGTGCAAAACTACGTTTGTTTTCGTATTCAAGTTTCTTGTTTTTAACTTTTAAGTCTTATATTATATGAGATGTCAGAACCAGAATGTACCATTTTTTCGTTTAAATATCTTTATTTTATTTGGATTTGGATTTGATTAGACTTGACATACAGCTACAGTATTGTTAATATAGATTAGTATATATTATAAATAAATAAATTTAGATTTAAAGAAATATTCAAGTAAATGTATCGTTATAAATCAATCAACTATTTAGCCGTATATGGCACTCGGTGTTATGATAGAGACTAACTCCAATCAGGAAATAAAGATAAAGGGACCTTGAAGTGCACAGATCAAAACAATCGATAGATCACATTTAATGTTAATCAGTAAATAATAACGTGTAGCATCTACAACATCACTTGTGACTAGGGTTGTTGCTGACACTTTAATAATTATATATAGGCATATAGAAGTACTCTTGTGACGTGTGATTTTTTTTTTTTGATTTGGATTTAGATTTGGGTTGCTAAAAAACAAAAACGATAGATGGCTTTAAGCAAATCAACACTCATCAATTTCTTGCAATTTAATTTATCGTCAAACAAGCATCAGCAGTATAGTGATAATCTTTGCTATCGGTTATATTCGACAACACATCACATCAACAGCCTTTAATAGTCCACTGCTGGACATAGGCCTCTCCTTAGTAAGGAGGTTTTGGCCTACTATACCACGCTGGCCAGACGGGTTGGTATAATGTGTTGTTTGTTGGGTTGGTTGAGTGGCAAAAGTGCCCTAAATTATTAGTTTTAATTTTGTACAAGATAGTAATTAGTAAGAAATATATTCATGTTTAATGAGAAAATGCGCGACAACCCTAATGCAACGTGCTAGCGTAAAGGGCAAGTTCAAGAGTGAGCGCATCATGCGCCAAGGTTGCTTCCTGGTGCGCGCGCGGCGATGCGCGCCGCGCCGTGTGCTACTGTTTGAGAGCTGCGTTAGCGACGCGCTTAATATTCTCGCTTTCGTTCATAGAAATGCAAAAAAAATAAAGTTGTAAACTAAATCAATACTAACTTACTTTTTAAATATTTAACCCTGGGTTACTGGTAGGTCTTATCACGGTAAATAATCTACATTCTACATATAATACAATGAAAATAATAATAATATGAAAATAATAAAAGTTCAGTTATGAACTAGGCGTCATGAACGCATGACGAACTTAGTAAGCCTGTCAAGCATGCGAATGGACTCGCCTCATGTGCAATGGAGTTAGTCCCTCTAGTATAAACTAACGCGAGCGGAACAAGGTCTATAAAGAAAATCGACTTCTACGGAGGCAAATTTGCTTGTGAAAGTTTTATCAAGAAGTAAGTATTTTCAAAATTACATTACATTGTGTAATCTTATAATTTGAATAATTATGATTTTTTTAAACACCAAGTTAACATTTCAGGCTCGGAAGGTTTTGCCCCCGATCACACACTCCACTGCCCATCCTTCGTCACTCTCACGGTTACAATGTAACCATTACCCACCCTTACGCAACTTTCACTACATCCATCTTACATTATTCTTTGCAAATCGCTACGCGGTCATTATGTAGGTAACTCGTTGATATAAAGGAGCGAATTAAAAATAATTGCACGAGTAATATCAATAAGCTAATAAACATTGCGAGTTAGTAGTGGTTTTTTGTTTTCTGATGTTGTGTTTAAGTATTATAGTATATATATGTATAATTCACAGTTTAAGCATATGCAGTATATATATATGTATAATTCACAAACCGGTTGTTGCTTAATAAACAATTGAACATAAAAAAAAAATCCCAAAAAAGGAAACACGCTTTTAACCATTTTATTCTTGCTACCATTTTCTCTAGCCTTGGCTTTTGCTTCTGTTATGTTAGTGTGATCCTACGCATTTCTTATCATATAAAAATACTAGTTGCATTTGAAGCACAAAAGTACAATAGATACTTAGCGATGCGACACATCGGTTACAAAACTCATACATAAAACCATTACAAATGCAGCGCATAATGTTTACAATACGGTGCTCGAGGCGACGCTTGCGCAACAATTTGAATGTCAAATGGGGCCGGTTTCAAAAACAAAATTTTAGTTCTCATCGAGAAGAGTCGTCGGCCGCGAGCTGTCTCGCTTCCGCAATTATGCAATGAAATGTTGAACTTCAATGTTACCTCACTGCACCAATAAGGAAAGACTATCTATTATCGACAAGCCTACACTATCTACACAAATATATATTTACATATATGTATATAAATGTTTGTTGCGGGTCAAATTGAACCTACCAAATCCAAATTACAACATTTTTGTTATTTACAAATTCTAGGGGTGCCGCTTTCGTTGTTCAGTGAGGAGGTATTCTTAGTCAAACTCCCGTATCTACCTTGATTATCTAGATTCTTTACCTAGTTTGCAGAACAAAATAATAATTTCTCATAAGATAATTCTGAGTGATTTTTGATTCTGAGAGATCTGAAAACACGATAAATTCCAAAATTTAATTTTCAATTGCTCATCACCTACTTCCATATGATTAGAGCCAATTTGGCAAATATTCAAAGCCGATGTTCTTGCCTTTCGGTGCTGACATGGTATCTACCACGAACAATTATGACTGGGATTGGGAACAATTATGTGAAAAACACAATTTAATTAAACTATACTTATTGTTGTTGTTATAAAAAATCCTTGATAGGCAATTAGTTTGTTTCCGGTTGCAATACTTCCTCTATTCCTTGATTATCAGTATCTTCCAAAAATAAGGACAGTGCAATAGAAAAATATTATACAGATGCTCTAAATGCCATTATGATATTCATTAATGTTTAAATTCTTATTACTCATAATTACAATAAATAATATGAAAGTTTTAAGGTATGAAAAATAGAATCATTACAGTAAAAAACTCTTAACTGCAAATAGGCTGTAATTAAATAATAAACTATAATTTTATTTGCCTTGTTCCAGGTACTTGTTACTGCGATACACAGAGAGTAATTATGAAGATATAAATTTAAGGACCAACAGAATTTTATCAAAATGAGACTGGTAAGTTTACGCTTAAGTAATATTACTAAAAACTTTTACTCGGTTGAGTTCTAATACTATTATTAAAATCTTTTAGCAGTTCATTTAAAATTTTGAAAATATAAATAGGCAAAGGGGAAGTGTGCGCAGTGCAAAGTGCGCACTTATAACAGAACTAGGTCAGTAGTGACGCCGCCCTTTTATCGAACGTCACTCCTCGCTTTATCCTTCTGGAAACTAAACTCTCTATTTACGACAATAGGACTCAAAATCAGGTGATAAAGATGAAAATGCATACCACTATAAGGAGGTAAAATGCATTTGGTTACGATGCTATTTGCATATTTCGGGGTCTGAAACTGAGTGACTTGCAAAGCAAATAGTCGTTGTGTTTATCTCAGGATTCAAAAAGGCAAATTGTAATTTGGTGGAAGATAAAAACTTAAAGAATAAAAGAAATTATTTTGTTAACAGTCAACTAGTGAAGAAGTTCCAACTACAACCGTAGTGGGTCGGACTGGAAGTCCCGCCAGTGCAGATGCAGTGAGCACAGTTCCCAGTGTCGGCGCCTACGATGTTACCCGCATGCGCGAGGATGAGTTCGAGAGGCTCACAGTGTACATAGTTCCCGACGTGCCGTGTGAACGCGGAACGCCTAATAGAGCCGAAAGGACACTCCCGCGCAGCCTGACTCTCAGACCATCCGCAGTATTATCGACTCCAAACACACCGGTACGTATTCGTTTAAGTACTTTATTTTGATTAGCAATAGACAACAAGTCAGCAAGACAGCTGGGATTGATGTGATGCAGAAGGTGATGGATGGGGCCCGATGACGCACGTTAGGACAGGCCAGCAATAAACTACAACAAGTTGAGGATATTTGGAATAGGCAAACATTAAACTACATATTACTTTCAGAACACAATTAGTAAAAGACAATAAATTGTAAAGATTATGGATGTTTCAGACCGAGGGTGTATGGAGCATAGGAGTGATACCTCGTGGTACTCGCTTCGGACCTTTCGAAGGCACAAGAACACCGAACAAACCTAATGATAAAGTATCTTGGCGATATTACTGGAGGGTGAGTATCACTATTATGAAAAAAAATTAAGCAGTGCATTCATCACTACCCGCTTTGCTTTACTATTATTTGGTTGAGGCTCAGTTTGTAAATATCACGGCACAACCTATTACAAATTTCACTATCCTCTGTCAATGAAACTAATAACTTCTACCAAATATTTTTATAAAATATCAGCATAGAATATGCACTATTATTTTCTCCTTCAATTAACCGAACTCTCTCTTTGGGCCAGGTACAGGAAACTGTGAGACATCATACTTATGGAAATATTAAGGTGAGACTGGGTTTTTAAATTCATTTTAACGGTGGTGGCTTTAGAATCAAAATGTAAATACCAATCTTCTAATTACAGATAGTCTGTTGTATTTAAGTACGTTTAAGTGTGACAAATAGTTATGTATGACATGAAAAAAAGGGACAGTAATATATTGCTACAATTATCTTTCTAACCAATATCGGTATTTAACTATACAAACATGCTAAAACGCAAATTTCTCAAAAATTTACAGTAAATTGAGGGCATGCTATTAACACTTCATACATTATTTTTTGTCATAATTTTTTTATTCAAAATGCATATCAATAAACTCATTACAACCGCGGCACTGACACTTTTTGTAGTTAGAAGAGCTAGTTGCATTGTTTAACCACAGTAGATAGTTTAAATAAGCGTTATCTTGCGTGTTCCATATTACCTCTTGAGTGACATTGCATCTCGTCCTTGACTCCCCACTATAATGCAAACGCGTCGCTATCAGTTGCACGCGCACAGTATATATCCAACACGTGGCACGTGCACTAATAAACATGTGTTTAAGTCAATGATATAAATTAGATTTGAATAATACGTAACTCAAGTCCAATACAGTTAATGTTAGAAAATTGTTAAAAATCAACTTTACGTATTAGTGGAACCGTTATCCTATTAGCATTTACAATGTAATTCGAAATGTGCAATTACAGAAACATGGACAATAAGGCAGTTTTCTTTGTATTTGAAGAATCGGTGCTCGTTCGCTGGTTCATTCTAATGCAAATATTTAATTATTTTTTTACCTTTTATATAAACCTAATTGAAAAGGTGTTGATATTTAAAATATAAATCAATCTCCGCCTGATTATTTCGAATTAACATGGGAAAGCATACATTATAAAAGGTCTTATTTAATTACAGATATTCAAAGATAGTGACTATTATTACCTGGACGGCTCTGACACGAGCGTAGCAAACTGGATGCGGTACGTTGCGTCTGCGTATTCACTTTCTGTGATGAATCTCGTCGCTTGTCAACATCAGGAGCACATATACTTCTACACAATCAGGTAAATTCACAGCACAGATATCCTTTTAATTACTATCATTAATTGTAATTTGCTGACAATGAATTTTAATTACTATATCTTTATTTACAGGGATATTATGCCTAACGAAGAGTTAATGGTATGGTACTGTAAAGATTTTGCAACGAGGTTGGGCTATGATATAGATCCTGAGAGAGCAACTTATTCAATCTGTAAGTATTGCCTTTTTATTTCTATGTAATCTCAACAACAGAGTTTAGAAGAAGCTATATGTCATTTTTACTTAAATTAACTTTTCTGTATATTCACAGGTAAAGAAGAAACTATTAAAAAAGCTTATGGCTTGCCACCTGCACCAGTACATCCAGAAATTGCCTTTAATCACATGAAGTATGTGCTAGGTTTAACAAATACTAAAGAACTGCTGGAGGCTGAGATTCCAAGCCGTCGTCGAAAACGTGAAGCAATTGACAAGCCTTACCATGAAAGTCCAACCACTGTTCTTCGAGAAGACCCGAGATGTATTAGCAAAAACGATAGAGCTATTATGAGAACCGATATTTCTACAAATATAATCAATAACAAAAGTGAGAATTCTATCGTTACCGAACAGACTGCATTATCGCCAACCAGTTTGATGCCGTCACCTTCGCCGGTGAAACTTCATAGAGAAAACCCTACCCTAATCATTCACCAACACAAAGAAAGTACATCTCAGGTAGTAATACATCAACTAGAAAATCCTAGATTGCAGAGTAATAGGTCACCTGCCCAAACCCAAAACCAACACTTAAGGGATATGCGCGGGCCATCTCCAATGGCACAGAATAATCAAGAAAAATTAGACAGCAAATCGCCAATTCTAACTCATTGTAGTGGACCACACTGTGAACATCAGCTTACACCAAATGATGGATCCGTACGATCTGACGAAGGATATTACAGCAATGGCTACCATGATGAATTCACTCCTCCTGAGGACTCAAGTGATTCTGATAACGAGAATTATGTTCTGGACTACTCTACAAAAAGTAGTGAACCGAAAGAGACCGTAATAGTTCAAAAAATTGATCAAGATATGCATCGTAATGAATATAGAAAAGTAAAAATCAAAATGCCAAGAGCGTATCAATATCAGAACCATAAAGAAATGGACTGTGAAAGTGAAAAAGAGTTAGTGATTGCTGAAGAAATATCTAACACTCCACAAAACGTGTCACCACCTAGACGTGATCCCGCTACTTCAACTGTAATAGTATTAGAATCGTCTCAAAATACGGTGGTGCCTATAAACAAGCCATACTATGAGGATGGGACTATTTCACCTACACCGCAGCCCGCATTTATGAGATATTCTCCACCAGACACAAGAATATTAGAGACTATATTGACTGGAAATAGGATAGATACTAATAATAATGATCCAAACCGTCGCCAACCAAATGCAACCCCGCCACCCTCATCGCCTACGGAAATGGCATATTCATATAAGAAAAGTCAAAGATACGGCAATGCCTGCAGCCCAGACTCAAGTTCTAATCTAACACCTTTACCATCCCTGTTGCCACTACCACAGCAATTGCCAGCACCCAGCGCTGCTTCCGTTTATTCTTCATCTCCGCCACATACAATCCCTCATACTACTGAAATTCGAGAGATCAGAGAAATTAGAGAAATCAGGGAGACACGATATGAACACTACCCTAATTACTCATATAACTTGTACTCGCCTCCGAACTCAACAATAATTACTCAACTAGGATCCCCACCAACTAATTACTCTCCCACGGTAACATCATCGCACCAATATGAACGATCACAAAACGTTCAAAGCAATCACCACTATCCTTCCACGACAAGCGTGATTACATTAAAAAATTGTTCGCAATTAAGTTTAATCCAAAATACAAGTGTAAACAGTCAATTGGTACCTCCACACGGTAGTGTCAGCCCAGACGGTTCATGTGGGCTTATGGTCGCACCTATGAGCCCAGGATCACAGTCTTCGCGTGGATACAGGAGTTTACCTTATCCTTTAAAGAAGAAAGATGGGAAAATGCATTACGAGTGTAATGTCTGTTGTAAAACCTTTGGTCAGTTATCAAATTTGAAAGTTCATTTAAGAACACACTCAGGAGAGCGACCGTTTAAATGTAATGTGTGTAACAAATCTTTCACACAACTGGCACATTTACAGAAGCATCATCTAGTTCATACAGGCGAAAAACCGCACCAATGTGATATTTGCAAGAAACGATTCTCTTCAACATCGAATTTAAAAACTCACTTGCGTTTACACTCAGGACAAAAACCTTATGCCTGTGACTTGTGTATGCAGAAATTCACACAATTCGTACATTTAAAACTTCACAAACGGTTACATACAAATGACAGGCCGTATGTTTGTCAAGGCTGCGATAAAAAGTACATTAGTGCTTCCGGACTGAGAACTCATTGGAAGACTACTAGCTGTAAGCCTAACAACATCGAAGAAGTATTAGCAATAACAAACGCCGCAAATACTGAATGTATCGGTAAGTTTTGTTTTATCACTAAAATTTATACTAAATAGACATTTATATTCACTCAGTTTTTTTTATCACTGCAGTATAAACATTTATAAACAAATATTAACATTGTTTGCAATTTAAACTCAAACGAAATAGAATTAACGCGGGCACAGTCGCGAGAGCAACTGCAGCGGGCTGCACTTTCTCTTCGTAGGTGAACCGCAACTTTCACTTGCGCTCTCGCTCAACGCGGCCGATTTCATTTTCGCGTGCACTTTGCAGGGTCCGTCGACAAAGACTGCCATGAAAGAGAGGGGCATGAAGCATACGAGGTACACTCTCCATCGCAAGGAGGGCTGGTGGGAGCCGGTGGGGCGCGTGTCGCCATGTCGCACAGCGAAGTAATGTTGGGAGGACAGGCGCACACCACAACACCGCACTTGGTGACGACGTCGCATGGGGCGCTGTCTCCTCAATCGGCGCACGCGCAATATCGCTCGTTGCCGCCGCCGCCGGACCACGAGGCCCAACAGCATTATGCGCCGGCGAGTAGCGAGCCGCGCCCTAGCGTCATCGAGTCTAACCAGCCGCTCATCATAGAGTGCACCTGAGAGTATATAGTGCGTCGCGCACTATTCGGACGCGTGTTTCCCCGCCGCATCATGTGATTCCAGTCTTGTGATCAAACGAAAGTATTTCGTAAGAACTTTGGGACGATTTCTTAGTTTGTACTGTGCAGTGGCTATGAGATTACGATATTAATTTTAAGTTGTACATTTGTAATAATAATTACTTTTAAGTACGATGCGATATTATTAAGTACTAAGTACTTGCGTAGAGTAAGTCCCCTTTGGGAATGTGTATCATATTAAGTTAAGAATTTAAGTAAAACAGCTAAGATTTCGGCAGCCTTTGTTTATAATAATGCTCAATTTTAATATATAAATAGAATTCTATTGTAAATAGAATTTTCAAACATCGACTTGTTAATTTTGAAACGATAACAGCTGTAGGTACTACTTCCATGAATGTCTTCTTCTTTGAAGATTATCCATTATGATTTTTTGTTGAATTTGTAAGTAGTGTTGAACATGAAATCGTTAATATTATTAAATTTCACCAAAGAATATCTAAACAGCAGTAAAGAGTACCGAGCGAACAGTTTTTTTGTGAAATTATTTCATATCGGGCCGAGCATGTTATCAAACAACTGATTAGTGTTAAGTGCCAAAAGCACGTTTATATATAAGTTACATATAAAGAGATGAGCGTATAGTATTTTTAAATTGTTGTTCCTAATGAATAATCGGAAAGTAAGTGCGTTGTGCAAAAACTTAAATCTAATGTTATTTAGAGTAAAATTAAAAAATTGTGTACATTATCCCTACGCTAGAACAAATGGTGCTTCACATCGTAGAGTAGAGGTCGCTCGCACCGCACGCGCCTTGCGTCGAGAGCCGACCGTGCGCGTGCCGGTGGACATAATGTAATGTTATTCACCGAGTCTACATACTAGTTACTATTTTATATTCCCAAGTAATTACGATTCTCCTATTCGAAAAGGCTGAAATATATAAATGTAATGTAATTAATGTTTGGCGAATAATAAACGTAAGTAAGTATTGGTTGTTATTGTGCGTAAATTGTGTAGACACATATAATTTGTGTAATAATAATATTCTAATTTGTAATTATGTCTGCACAGCTTACACGTGATGTTCGACCAAACGATAGCCTTTTGTATATTTCTATTGTTCATACGACTAAGATTTTTACAGGCAATCCTTTTTAGATTAATTGTACCTACTGTATATTTTGTACTGTTTACAGGGCAAAGAATTTGTACTAAAGTCAATGTACATCGTTTTCATGATCATTTAAGTTTTGCTGGTTTCGACGTACAATATGATATTTGAAATTGTTTGACTTCTCTAAATTTCTCTTATAATATTTCTTAGTGTAAAATATTTCAGATAGTATATTAACTCACGTGAAAGTCACTCAAAACCAGTAGAAAAACTAATCAAGGATTTAAAACATTCCACAGATACCAAGTTTTTTTTTTATCTAAGTTAAATAATTCAGTCCACTTGGGATTCTTAACCATCACATAATGTCGTATTTATATTAGGTATAACGATTGTCAAATTCATACACAAATACATTGGGATGTTTAGAAATATTAGAATCATCTTATTTTTTCACCTTGACTTCATTTTATCTTGAAGAACTTGAAATAAATGTGCATCTTCACAAACAGTGGATATTATTAATAAACATTCTGATCTGAAATTTAAAGAAAATCTCATTTATGACGAAATATGGACATTACAATTTCATTAGTCTTCCAATAACGAGAAGTTGAAACATTTAAAATTAACTTTATTAATTTCGACTACTTGGTACCTATTATGTGTAATTTTTAGATAAAATCGTAAAAGAAACTGGTTTCGCAACAATTCATAAAGAAAAGTTTTTTGAATTATTAAAATTAAACTTAAAACCTGATACCTATCGATAGTTTATATTTGACGTTGTAGTTATCATTTGCGATTTACGAGTTATATCGACACTGTATCTTTACGTTACAATCTTCATATGCTTATTCGAAACGTCGAAATCCACAATATCTTGACTAAAATCATTTTAATTGTTAATGGATACGTATGAAATTAAACGTTCTTAAGTTTTTGAAGGAAGATTTATTTGACAAATGTACTTATAATTACTTATTATGTACTTATTAATTAATCTCTACAATTTCGATTTTTGTTCTACAATTTCGCTATAGTTAAAATATATTGTTACATATTTTTATGTTCCGTGTATTGTTACTGAATTGTCAAACAGCGTAACAATTTTAATTTCCAAATCTCATGAGAAACTCCAATGTGTACTTTGAAACTATACGAAAATGTTTTAATTCAAAAACATTGAAATTACAAAATATTCTGAATGAGGAAGATCTAACTACTCATCATGTTAAGTCAGACATGGATCAATGTTCAAAATATTTTGTATTTCATTATCATGTTAGAAGGATCGCACTAATATTCATATTAATATAAGCTTTTGCGTTAAATACAAAGATACTCAACCTATGTCATCTCTTTTTTCTTAATTAGTTTGGGCAAATCAATGGCCTATTAAAATAAAAAACTGAACAATTGACTTCACTGTAAATAACTCTGATGGAGAACAAAAGTATGTGGTAAATTTTGAAATTATTTATGTACATTTAATAATAAATCAGTCACTACTAATGTCAACCTTATTATTATATCCATGTATAAAAATGACAACTTAAGGAAATCGATGATTCTAAAATAATAACTATACATATATAAATACAATACTTTACTTGGTACAGAAAGGTAAACAATCTTATTATTGTATGTATTCGATACCTATTGCTACAACCATGTATAAATAATATTAAAATAAATAATGGACTCGCATAAGCTCGTTAAGAGTATAAGTAATATTATAACTACTTAAAGCGCCAGAAACTTACCTACTTACTTGTAAAGGCCTGTAATTTTGTACACCTTGTTCAATAATTAATTTACAACACCAAATTCATTAAAACGGGAGTAAAATATGCAATTGTGGTTTTATTCAATTGAATTACCCTTATTATCTGTCATCATTGCATCTACGCGAATATAGCTGGCACCAACAAGGTTCCACACGAACTGATTTTAATTTTTTTTTTATTAGCACTAGCATTCCCAACGAGAACTGACGTCAGGAAGGAGGCCGGCCATGAAAAAAATTGAAAAGGGTTAGAAAAGCAAAAAGATGATTATTTTTGACCATCAACTGCAAGATCTTGACTGCCACTAGCAATTTTATGCTTAGCAATGATTTTATATTTGCGATTACTATTTAGATTGCGATTAAAACCACAATTATGTTAATAGTTAGGTACGTAGTTACTGATACTGAAACAATTAAGCTGAGAATTAAATTTTTAAAACGTATCACAGACTTCAAAGTGCCTACATCATAATGAATTACATTTAACAAACTGTTTTGCACATTCCTTAATTTTCCTCCGTTAAGAGTGGTGTTTTCTTTCAAATTTGAATGGCACCACCTCGGAATTTCTCTTTCGATTACATTTGGATGCACGGATAGCGTAGTGGTTTAAGCTATCCACAAATTGTTGTTCTGAGTCTGGGTTTTATGTGTCCGTTTCATGAATGTTTGTAAAGTCCCCCGCTACACAGAATTTATTCTTAGTTCAGGAGTTGTCTTTAAAACCGTCTATGTTTTATTTTAAGGATTAGTTGCTTACACCATTAAGGTTATTACACTGCAGAATTCACTTTGACTATACATCTCTACATTCCTACTCCTCCGTAAGGTGACAGTTTAAGAATACTGAGTGTCACCATCCCTAATTATCCCGTGTGCGTAAGAGCCGACTGAGGGAGCAAACAACACAGGAAAACAGCACTGCAAAGAGAAGGAAAACTTGACACAAACCCTATACCAACCTGTCTGGCCAGCGGGGTATAGTAGGCCAAAACCTCCTTCCTAAGGCTCTCCTTAGAAATGCTCCTTTTAATGGTCCCTGCCTATGTCCAGCATTGGATTATTAGAAAATGTTGATGATAATGATACCTCTCTACAAATGTTATTTAAAAAAATGGTCTCATTAAATAAGCAGCCCGGGTGAACACCATAGAGGAGATTTTTTCAGTTTTAAATAAAAATCATTAAAGCCCTGTCATAATTTCTTGAGTACAACGGAGAACACTTATATTTTGTGAAGCCGGGACGGCCTGCCGATTCGGTCGCGGCCTATAGGCCCATCGTGCTGCTGGACGAGGCGGGCAAATTGTTTGAGAGGGTTCTTTCTGCCCGCATCGTCCGGCACCTCTGCGAGGTGGGCCCCGATCTGTCGGACGCCCAATTTGGTTTTCGGGCGGGGCGTTCGACAGTCGACGCCGTGTTGCGCCTGAGGGCCGTGACCGAAGAGGCCGTGAGCTGTGGCGGCGTGCTGTTGGCGGTGTCATTAGACATCGCCAACGCATTCAATAGTCTGCCATTCAGCTGCATCAGGGAAGCACTCCACTATCATGGGGTGCCAAAGTACCTGAGGCGGCTAGTGGCAGACTATTTAGAGGAGCGTACCGTCGTGCACGAGGACCGAGAAGGTAATCTGAGGTGTCGGCCCATGTCGTGCGGTGTTCCACAGGGGTCTGTTCTTGGACCCCTCTTGTGGAACATAGGGTACGACTGGGCCCTTCGCGCCGATTTCCCCCCGGGCTGGGTGTAATCTGTTACGCAGACGATACCCTGGTGACAGCCCGGGGGGCAAACTTCCAAGACGCTGGGCTTACGGGTGGCCCTAGATAAGACGGAGGCCCTGTTATTTCATGTCGTGGTCAACTCGGTCCTCGTACCGGTTCGGGCCCAGATGAAATATCTAGGCCTGATCCTCGACGGGAGGTGGCTCTTCGACGAGCACTTCCGACAGCTTGCTCCAAAGCTGGTCGGCGCTGCGTCTGCCCTAGGGCGACTTTTGCCCAATATGGGTGGACCCAGCGTCGCGACAAGACGGCTGTACACGGGGGTTGTCCGGTCAATGGCACTGTACGGTGCACCGGTGTGGGCGGCGGCTCTGACCGCCCAGAATAGGGTACGCCTCTGGCGCCCTCAGAGGGTAATGGCGGTCAGAGCCATACGCGGTTACCGCACCGTTTCGACGGAGGTGGCATGCGCGTTGGCCGGAACTCCCCCGTGGGATTTGGAGGCGGAAGTGCTCGCCGAAGTTTATCGGCGAGTGGCTGACTCCCGGGCGGAGAGCGGATTTCGCCCTCCGCCCGAGGATGTGCGCGAGTGGCGCGAAGCCGCTCGCCGAGCCACGATGGCTCGTTGGTCGTTCCGGCTGGAGACTCCACGCGCTGGCTTCGCCGCCGTGGAGGCTCTCCAGCCGGTCATCGCCGAGTGGGCAGGGCGGCAGCACGGGACCCTTTCCTTCCGGCTGACGCAGGTGCTTTCCGGGCACGGTTGCTTCGGAAAGTACCTGCACTCGGTCGCTAGGAGGGAACTGAGTCCCGCCTGCCACCACTGCGACTGCAGTGAGGACTCGGCCCAGCACACGCTGGCGGTCTGCCCCGCATGGGCGGCGCAGCGCCGGGCCCTCACCGCAGTCATCGGAGTGGATCTCTCGCTACCGGCCGTAGTACGCTCCATGGCCGGTAGCGACAGTTGTTTTACCGCGGTCGCAACCTTCTGCGAGGTAGTAATCTCGCGGAAGGAGGCGGCGGAGAGGGCCCGGGAGGACGACCTCCACTCGGACCCGATCCGCCGCCGGCGAACCGGGCGGCGGAGGCCCGCCTATCACAGCCTCATGCCGCATTAGTTTGGCCAGCCGCGAGGGGGCGGCGTCCGCGTGTGCCGGACGTCGCCTAAAGAGAGGAAAAAATATTGAGACGGAGCCCGCACCTGGAGCGGGCTGGCGCTAGGAGGGGTCCGGATGTCTTAACAACAGCTGTTCCCGGATCCCTCCTGTTACAGGCGCAGAGTGGCACACCGTGTGGTTTTAGTCGGTCCGAGTCCGACACACCACCCCGCCGCAAACCCCGGAGGGGTGACGGTCCGAGGGGATTTCCACACGTTAAAAAAAAAAAAAAAAAAGGTGCCCAATTTTCCTAACCATACGAAAACATTAATCAAAAATATCGTTATCAGAAATGAATACCATATTAGTTAGCAGCGATAGGCTAAGGTAAAAACTATTTGTCTTAGATTCAGATCACGCGTATTTGATCTCTGAAGTTAATATAACATAAAAAAATATGACAAAATAACCAAAAAAACCGCAGACTTTAACATGGTGGATTGAGATCTTTAGATATTTTTGTTATTATGTCTCAACCGCAAATATTCAATACCATACTTCGTAAAATTCAGCTTGATACGGCTGACAGATGTCACAAAAAACGACTATAGATATGACATAACTGGCTAAATCGGTCACTATAATTATAGACTGTTATCCATTGACGATATTTTATTGAAATTATAGGTTTATAATAATAGAATAACAAATAAGTATTTTAAGATTATTTTTCTTAAGTCGTACAACCCTAATCATCTTTTTCGTCGTTGCTGGAACAATCCTGCTGATTAATTTTATTACAAGTTTTAATCACAAACTAAATCGTACTTTACTTCTCATTCCCAGTCTTCCTTAGGGTCAATTCTCGTAATAAATCATCTCTCGATCTTACTAATATGTATTATAAAAAATGTATTTTTTCGTAGTGAAGTGTCACTAAGGGCCGGTTTTTCAATCCTCAGATAAACAGTTAGATAGCTTTTATTTTTTTACAGTTAGCGTAATTTTGGGTTTTTCAATTATCAGATAGCTATTATCTGAAGAATAAAGCTTAAATCTGAGCAATAACTTTATCTGTCCTTTCACGCCTCAATTTTGACTTTCATTTTGACTTTTGTGTATTTTCATTCATACCAACCCACCAGGCCAGCGTGGTATAGTAGGCCAAAACCTTCTTTCTAAGGAAAGGCCTATGTCCAGCAGTGGACTATTAAAGGCTGTTGATGAAGTTTATATACGTTGCCCTTATTGAGTATTTAAATTTTGCTATTTCTTGACAGAAAAGAAAGAGTTTTTAGACAAAGATATGACAATACTTTTGTTATGATGAACAATTTCATTACAAGTTATTAGCAAATGCAATGTATCGAAATTTAATGCTCGTTTTTTAATTGATTTTATTTTATACAAAAGTAAAATGAATGATAACAATATGCTATACAACATTCACACAACGCCATCTAGTCCCAAACTAAGAGCTCAGAGCGTGTATTATGGGTACTAGACAACTGATATAAATACATATACTATTTTTTGGTAAATATGTACATATTATCCATGGAAACACCCAGACAAAATTAAATGTAATTGTACACAAAGTGTTTGAATAGAGCGGGAATCGAACCCGCGACCTTTCGAGTAGCAGTCCTTTACTCAAACTACTGCACTATGTTCACCGTCACTACCACCGTCAATAAGGTTGTCTTATTATCTGACGACAAGCAATAATATAATATAAAAATAATATTCTACCACATTCACACGACGCCATCTAGTCCCAAACTAAGCAGAGCTTGTACTATGGGTACTAGACAACTGATATAAATACTTATATACTTTTTTTGTAAATACATACATATTATACATAGAAACACCCAGACCAAATCAAACATTACATGTTCATGCACATAAATTTGACTTGAGCGGTAATTGAACCCGCGTCCTTTGAAATAGCAGGCAGTTACACAAACCATTACGGCATCCGGTCGTCAATGAACTGCACGGAACTGAAATGAACTGTACGGCATGGATCTGGAAAACATGTGGTTTCAGCAGAAAGGTGCCACCTGTCACACCGCGCATGAAACAATCGACTTATTGCAGCAACGATTTCCAAAACACATTACGTCACGAAATTCAGATGTCAACTGGCCACCAAGATCGTGCGATTTAACGTCGTGCGATTTTTTTCTTTAGGGTTTTGTGAAATCTCGGGTTTATGCGAATAAACTAGAAACAATTCCGGAGCTGAAATCAGAGATCCAATACGTCATCGGTAAGATACAGCCACATCTCTGTGTAAAAGTCATGGAAAATTTCATGAAAAGAGTAATGGCCTCTCATCAGAGCCGCGGGGGCCATTTGCCGGATATTTATTCCATACTTAATCGGAACATGTCTTCTTTATAATCCAATAAAACTATCACAACTCTTTCATAAAATACGTGTTTTTATTTTAAAGTGAAAAAGTGTACTCTTACTGAGACACCCATAATAATTACGTTTATACATAACGTATTTATTATGTTTATACATAAACGTATTTATTACGTTTATACATAAACGTATTTATTATGTTTAATACTAAATATGTGTAAAATAAATTGATATTCTATCGCAATAAAATTATAATAATATAAAAATGGCTTGTTTGTGTGTTTAGGTATCCGGTGTGGATTCAGGGACTCGACACTTTTTGAGATGAGTCCTCATGTTCGACGATTGTGTAAAAGCCAGTTTGCAACGTGGACATGAGTAAGGTTTGGAACCGGTGTGAAAGTTCAAGTGTGACTTCAGATGGTGCTTCTTCGTGAACGACTTAGGACATAAAGAGCACGAAAACGGCTTTATTCCTGAAATTAATAGTTTTATGTTTTATTATACAGTAAAGTTTCTATTAAAAATGACACAATAAACTTTACTAGGTGTACCTTGTATATTAATTAAACTAACTTAAAAATAAAAGGGTTTTCTCAATTACAGTCAATGTTGCTTACTTATCTGTAAGTTACTCGATATATTCGACAATTATCCGAGCATACAATAATCGATTCTTTTAAAATAGTACATAATAAATATACATATATCGATAAATCGTGGTTTATTTTGTTGTTTAATAGTAGAAACTACCTAGATTACTTTAAACAATATATCGCAATACCCTTAAATTCTGTATTTTTTTTATTTTTACATATAAAATTCTAGAACTGAGATATAAAAACGCTTACCAGTATGCAATCTCAAATGTAGGGTCATATTGGAACGGTCGGCGAAGCGCTTTTCGCAGTGTGGGCAGGCGTAGGGCCGCTCGCCCGAGTGCGTTCGTTGGTGCTGCTTTAACAACATCTTACGAGAAAAGGCTTTTCCACATTGCTCACACACATGAGGCTTTACTCCTAGAAAAACTTAATAATGTAATTAGATCAATCTGTTTTATAAAACTCCCTGATATTTTTTTTCTTTTTAAAAAAAAAAACAACTCCCGCATTAGGAATATATCCTGTGTCGCGGGGGACTCTACAAACATACATGACACGGACACAAAGAACACCCAGACTCAGAACAACAATTTGTGGATCACACAAAGTGTCGTCCCATGTGGGGTTTAAACCCACAACACTCGGCGCAGTAGGAAGCGGCGTGACGACCGCTTAAACCACTGCGCCATCCGTGCAGTCAAACAGTGATATTACTTAAAAGTATTGGGATATCGATCGAATCGAGCTAGGGATTTCTTAATAAATTTTCAGGAAAAGCGCAATATGATCTTGTTATTAAGTTTTTAAAGTCAGCGCACGAGAAATGATTATTTCTTGTTTAAATTACATTTTTATTGTTGAACAAAAAATATTTCCTATAAGTAAAAAAAAAAAGTGGTTTGCAGGTTGGTTGGAAATCTAAGTCAAATATCTATTTAAGAATAGACTAAAAAATGTTTGTGATACAATACCTGTATGAATTCTCACGTGCATGTTATATGCCACACGTTGGTTAAATGATTTTGGACAGAGTGTGCACTTGTATTCCTTTCGATTTCTGAAAACAAATTAACATAATTCTTCTCTTCACTCTCCTCTCTTCTCGCAATCGCTCGACTCTTCATGCAATTTCCTACCTTTTGCATAAATACATAGGTATTTATTATAAATACATACTCATATACTTTTTTGGAAGCAATAGTCCAATAGAGAACAAAGGAAAAATTAAATTTCAAGGCTAATACTAAGTCTGTAGTAAAGATATTAATAAATTGGTAGGATTTTTGAACTACATTTTACCAAAATATAAAAGTAAAAAACACGAATGATAGATCTGGGTGCAGCAAACAAGTTTGCATTACGTCTGGTAAAGTTTTACCCGTTCCTAAAAAGTTCCGACAGTTTAATAAGTTTTCTTTAAAAGATAAAACAGTAACATAGGACATCGTGATCTATTTCTATGAGCCTGTGAATTACTAGTTCAAAGAGGGCAATGCGACTTGTTAATACTTTCTTATTCGAATGAAAATAAAACTCCCCACTTTAACCGGTAACTATACCTAATTTTCAGCGGACAACACAAGCTTGTAAACGAATTAATTCTCCTACGACCTAAGATGCCATTTATTTTATTTAATAATAATAATAATATATAATATATCTCACACACTCACACACGGCCGTCTGATCCCAAACTAGGCAGAGCCTGTACTATGGTAACCAGACCGCTGATAAACATACTTATATATTTCTAAATACATACATATTATAGATAAATTACACCCAGACACAGAACAAATGACCGTGCTCATCACACAATATTTGTCCTGGGTGGGAATCGAACCCACGACCTCCGATTTGTACATTATATTTTATTGTATTTGTTTATTTTTTATTTGTACTTACAAGTTTCCTTATCTCGAAAAATTATGTACGATAGAGATAATACTGACCCATTTCGATGATTCTTTCGTAACCCAACTCACTAAAAGAGATATAATACAACGATAGCAGTGCCAGTTAACCACATTTCTTTTATTGTGATATAAACATTAACAAAACGGCTATTGGACTGGTATAAAGAGCTATATTGGCATATGGCATGAATCTCTTAACAGATCTTGATGTATATATTTTAATTTTTTTCTTTGTTACCGGATTCACGGTCAAGGCTATGAAGTTTTTAAATGACCAACCTGTGAATTTTCATGTGACTACTCAAATAGCCTCTATCGTTGAAATATTTGCCGCACACCGTGCAAGTTGCAGCAAACTCTCTGGTGCCGCGATGTATCGACATATGGTACTTGAAGTTCCTCAACTGTGAGAACGTCTTGTTGCACTCGCCGCATGTATATCGCGCGTTCGCGGAATGCCGTCGCATATGAACCGATAACAAATCACTACTGGTGAATGCCTGGAAAATTTAAATTCAGTCAGGAATGTCCACCAGATGGAATAAAATTTTCTTGATATTTCGTATATTGTCATCGTGTTAATACTAAATATTGATAGTATAAATACCAATTAGAGCCAGGCGCTATGAATGGTCACGTTATGAGATGACGAACTCGAAAACATACTACCGATACCTATATCCATTTCTTTATCTTAAACTCGAAGGACCAAAAACCGGTTCGAATACATACAGAATTGCTGAAATCGATTCACAAATAGCAAAAATATCTAATACACACTAAGGACTAACTACATGATATAACTTACTGTAAAACGATTTATTTAGGTTTTTACAAAGAGCTATTACAAGTTAGTTACGTTACTTTACATTTAACAAATAACGTAAAACACCTGTAAAGTAAAGTATAATATGCAAATTTACCGAATGTTTATATAGGCATCCTTACTTCGAGCACTTCGCTGTAGACCGAGAAATAACAGTTTTGTCTCCGTAACATTACAACCGCGAATGCAAATGACTACATGTATATAAAATGCATTTAAGCACAAAACATTTCTACTGACCACGGTGAAAGCAAACAAAACTATTGAATCAAAGTGTATTTCAGGAAAACGTATCCGGTTCTAAATCAGTGCATGACGTTCAAAATTAATATTTTTCACTTTATATCACACTCAATACAATACAAATGCAATGAACACAACGCAACGAATGTTTTTAATAAATGCATTTATTGTTACTCTTAGAATTATTGCCATAAATTAATGTCCATAGGTATTTATAGCTCCTGCGGCCACATCTTGGGGTGATGTAGCCGCTGCAAACGAGCCGAGGTGAAACTCCACAGGTAACACTCCCCTGCGGCCGCGCTACACTCGCTGTTGCGCCTCTTACTGTGTAGAGCGGTGAGGGGCGCGGCAGCATCCCGCCCTAGGGTGATCATGGTCAACCTGGTGCCTCAATCTTGGGGTACGGCAGGGAGGCCTCTTGAAGCGGCCGATGCGTTCCTGGAGTTCCACCTGACTGCTGAGGTAGGCCGCCGCGGGGTTTAGTGGGTAGACCGGTTCTCCGGGAGTCCCACACACGTCCTCCGTTTCCCCAACGGAGGGTATAGTGCAAAAAGCATACCCCGCATAATTGTAATTGATTTTTACTCAATTTTTGTAACATTATGTTTTAGTACCATGGTAAAATATCAAGCGTAAAATTATGTTAGAATTGATTACATTAACAACGGATATAACATATTTTTGTGCTATTTGCTCTCAGGTATTGATTTTGTTTTCTGTATCATAAATTGATATAATTTGGTTCTTTATATAAAACAGTGCAGTATGTTGTAGCAAATGTTACCATTACAATGCGATTGCTTAAATATGAGTGTTTGAATATTTAAAAAAATCCGGACAAGTGCAAGGCGGACTCGCCACCGAAGGTTCCATATAAATTTGTAGGTACTTATTATAAATAGTTCAAGAATCGAGTCTCTCTGTTTTGCCGACCTTATCCCGAAATTTATTTAATTTATTTAAATTCCAAAACCTATAATTACTTAAATTATGTTTAATAAGTGAAATTGTACCTCGAAGATTGAGTTCGTACTTTAAATAAAGACTATATTTTTATGATTAAATTACAAATGGATAGTTTTCGGATTTTGCCCAGTACTTGTAGTATAAGACGATGTTACTTGCCATTTTTGATACTTTTAGGTCAATGGGAAGTACCCTATGAATTTTGATTCCTTTGACATTGTCGTAATATGCGTTTTTTGCGACATAAACCGCCGTATCTTTCTTTTACGTTAACTTAGAAGTTTCATTTTTTACAACTTTAAGGGACTGTAGACCTAGAGTATAATATAATAGGTTTTAATTTCAACTCGATACCTCCACGCGTTTCCGCGATAAAGGGTCTTAACAGACAGACAGACTGCAAAAAGCTGTTGTGCCTTACTACATTTTTTTCTGTCAAGAAACTATCTAGCAGCTCTTTCACCTTTAATTATAAAATATTGTGTAAGTTGTGATTGTGCTCACCACACAATATTTATTCTGAGTGGGAAACAATCCTGTGACCACTAGACCAACAGGTATATGTATACACCTTTATAATTACTGTCCTTTCCTGAAATTTATCACAATGACGTACATTACGTAGGTGCTTGTAAAAGGCGACGTCCAGAAGTAGACGACCGATAGATGGTATAGTCGTAATTAATTAATCTAACAACTTACCTGATTACAAATTGAGCACTTAAAGTCATCATTGCGATTAACAGTTATCCCCGTTGGAGTCTTTATTTTCTCCTTTATCGTGAAAGCCATAACCTCCCTTCCTTGTACGATATTCGTTAATGTTGGTGATTGCTCAACATTATTATTACTATAATTATGAAGAGTTTTTTCAATTTCCTGAAAATTTGAAACTACTTAACCGCTTTTGTATAGAGATTATTATTAGATTGAATATATATGTAGGATAGAACTTACTTTTTGATTAGTCATTTTTTGCAAGCTGCCTTCAACTTTCCTACGAAATGGTTTGTAGTTTATAGGTTTACGTGGGCTCCACGGGCTGTCAAGTACGTGATTTAGAATAGTAACCTTCGGCATTGAAGTCGTGTCCATTTCCTTCAAACCGTCTTCATTACGATCACTAGATAGAATTGAACTTGACGTAGATGTCTTATTTCTTATCGATTTTACTGAATTGAACATCAATGGTGTAACGCTGTAATCTAGAGAAGGTACGTACAACCCAGACAAAAGTTGATCCTGAACACCTATTTGAAAAATACTGTTTTTAGGTATAGACACATGATTCATCCAATCGTTTTTGCTATAATTTCTGCTTTCTGAGTCAAACACGTACTTAGTATTAATTTTTCTAACCGAGCAAACATTTGCGAAAGAGTCACAGAAACTTTTGGAAGTTTCACCGTAATCTTGTTCACCCCGAGTGCATCGCTGCTGCTTATGAATGTGGAATACTGAAGGTGAATTACCAATGTGCTCACTTGTTTTTTTATATGGTTCTAAGAGTGTATCGTTGAGATGTTTGCCATTTGCATTCGTTAAGAGCACAGATGCCGGAGCACGATAGCATTCATTTGATATTGCTAGCACGCCTGACGTGAGACCGTTAACATTACCGTTTCGAGGATATGTCTCGATAAATAAATCACGTAGGTAAGAGTTCCTTTGTCGGTCTCCATATGGCGATTTCAGATTTCCTAAAGGAGTCCTACGCTCTTCACTTGGATTTTGACTATACATTAGCTTATCGGTACAATCAGAGTTGCTCTCTGAATGTTGTAACAGCAGATCCTTGTTAATAACGCCTCTTTTTAAATTAATATATCCTTGATCTGTGGAGTCATCTACTCCTAAAGTAAATATATTATTTTTACACAAATCAGCTTCCTTTTGACCAATCAGGTTTGAATCTTGGTAATTGCTCTCTATGTATTGCGGTAAATATTGATTGTCAACAAATATTTGCATCGCTTTTATTATATCTAAGAACATTTCTAATTTATGTTTTTTTACTATGACTTCGCCGTTATAAATGTAGTAAAGGACTGACGCCATAGCATCAAGATCAAACTCGGGTAGCAATATAAATGCTGGCGTTTCATCGTTAGGGCAGGAAAGTAGAATGCGCTGTAAAAACGTATAGTATATTAGTCTTCGAAACAGTAATATACTTATAATTAAGGATTAGAAACGGACACAAACAAAGATTTACATACTCTAAGAAAAGTGCTAACACTTGCAAGCACAGCACGATGCGCGCTGAATGCGCGCCCGCCACACAGTAGTTTCACATCGCACCATTCTCCGTACGACAACCATTCACACATCTGAAATATCAATGAAAGAGAAAACCATTACCAATATTGTAATAAAACTATTGAGCACAGTGGATTCTCACGTTAACTATAAAGCAAAATCGTATTTCGCGTAATTCATTAAATGGTTTTTAACAGAACTTACAAAAGGTATATCAAGTACCTACGCATAGATACTATGTAACCTTTACAATGTATAACAGAAATAAAATCTGTCAGTACTTCAAATACCTGCAATAAAAAAATCTCATCTTATCACCACTACTCTCGATAATAGTCTGTGAAAACACACCGTTACAAATTGAATTAGAGAAATAATTTTTGAATTTCTTCACGCAATTCTGAGTAATTTGGATGGGATTCAACAATGATTCGGTAAGCACGGAACGAAACTTGGACGTCTGTAAACACGCTATGCCAGTGGCACACTTTTAATTCCTCGCCGATCGTGCAAATAGATGCCTCTGCACGGTATCTGTGCTGTAGCAGTGTCGTGCAAGAGCAATGTCCCACACGCCAGTAAAGGCAAAATTAAATAAACACATACGACCAGGTCAACGTTTTTAAAGTAGCACCACTTGTGAAAGTGTAGAGCAAATAGGTCTAATCAAACAAGAGGAAAATTAGAATCGTCATCTCACCGAACTTATCCACTTCCTATTCGGCGTCTCGTTACTAATACTTAACCTAAAACATCTTTATTGAGAGAGTAACTGAAAGTTGAACTCGTTCTATAACATGTACATATGCAAACATTGATGATTAACATTTAACAGATCTTCATTTCTAAAACTCAGCCAATTAAATGCCATATTGACTTTGGTATACACTGCCATTGAAATCAGATGACTTGACGTTAGCTTATTACCGATATTATTTTATATCTTAAGGTTTATATCTAAAGCATATATTTTTAAATAACAAAAATAAATTATTAACTAAAAAAAAGTTGGCAAGTTTTATAACTGTTTGACCGAATGAAAACGCAAGTGTAAAGAGGCATCTTTACATAGATTCAAACGCGGTGATGAGTTGCAATTCGTGGTCGATCATCATTTTTAACCGACTTCAAAAAAAGGAGGAGGTTCTTAATTCGACTGTATTTTTTTTTTTTTTTTTTTTGTATATTTGTTACGCGATTACTCCGGCAATTATAAACCGATTTGAATAATTCTTTTTTTATTTGGTAGGTCATACGTCAGAGGTGGTCACATTGTCACCAGGTCAGGATCTGATGATGGGATCCTGGGGAAATCGAGGGAAACCCTCAAATTTTGTAGGCATATACACTGTTTATCAGAAATTATCTTAATCTATGTAGATTTTTGCATCTAATGGTCACCACCTGATGTTGCTGAGCTGATGATGAAGCTGTTGATGAATGGTTTAGGAGTATGGGATCTCTGTAACAAAATTATGTAATACCATCGAATTTGAATGTGTTTGAGTCTAATTAATAAGAACTCCGATCCTATGTGATATTCAGGGTCTGATGATGGAGACGGTAAATAGCCATGAGAACTCTGTAATAAAATAAAGCAATTCCGCCGTGTTTGTGCTCATTTGATTCGTCTCGACTAGGAGCTTCATGCTAGTCGATTTTTAACCAACATCAAGAAAGGAGGGTTTTTGATTCGACAGTGTTTTCTTTTTAACCGACTTCCAAAACACAAAAGAGGAGGTTCTCAATTCGTCTGTATTTTTTTTTATGTATGTTTGTTACGCGATTTCTTCGTCAATTGTGGACCGATTTTCAAAATTCTTTTTGTAATCGAAAGGGTATGCTCCCGAATTGGTCCCATTACCACCAATTCAGGATCTGATAATGGGATCCTAGAGAAATCGAGTGAAACCCTCACAATTATTGGGAATTTGACAGCCCCGACAACGTGTTTTAGCTACGAGTATTTCTTTAGCCAAACAAATCATGGCAACTGCCAGAGACTGCGCGATGTGATGCGCAGAGAACTTGCAGTATTTATGTCACCACAGTAATTTTCGTTGTATTAAGAAGAAAAGGTTGAAATTTTGTATTCTATCTTGTTAAAATAATTCGGATAGACGTTTTGTTGCTATGGATGGCATCGCATTTCGTTTGTAAGTAATTTTATACTTAATTTATTAAAATAGTTCTGGAAAAAACTCTTAAATTTTGGGTGGGTCAACTAGGTTAATTTCTAACATACTAGTATTAACCCTTCTAGTTGGAACTCCTTCTATAAAATATTGAGCATATTTGTTGAGTAGTCTCACTAGAGCTTCCCTATCTTCACCTTCGAGATCAGTGTCAATTGAATCGGAAGTTATTTTGTTCGGTTGCAACTCACAAGAATTTGACTGTTTCTTAGAAAAGAATTTAAGCTGATCTTGATCAGTTTGGACGCCAATGTCATTTTCATATCCTACACTAAAAATGGTAAAATAAACCCTTTTTAAAAAAAAAGTTGAACCGACTTCAAAAAACACCGACAAAGAGCACTAAAAATTAAAAAATAATTACAAATCTAAGTAAAAAACTATAATAAGTACCCTCAATGTAACAGGTAACATTATAATACCAATAGTCCCTTCTAGTCTGTTTGAAGTCGGTGCCAAGCTCGATGTACAATAAGTAATACTGGTCTATGTCAGCTTTATATTAGCACAATGAAAAATTAAGAATTCAAAATAATTCTAATGAAACATCGAAGATTTTGTTAATTAATAAAGACCAACCAGATCAATTACGTGCGCAAACTTATCAACTACTTATTAAAGAATTCAAAATAATAATATAATTGGAGATGTGCGTCCACTTTAGCTCGTTCATCATGTTTTGCGCAGCATGAAGACTGTTGCAGCTGCCGCGCTACATTCTACCATGCCTATCAAGCACCTATTTGGCTTGGCACCGACTTCAAACTGACTAGAAGGGACTATTGGTATTATAATGTTACCTGTTACATTGAGGGTACTTATTATAGTTTTTTACTTAGATTTGTAATTATTTTTTAATTTTTAGTGCTCTTTGTCGGTGTTTTTTGAAGTCGGTTCAACTTTTTTTTTAAAAAGGGTTTATCATACATATGCATATGTTTGTCAGATTTCACAGAAACTTCACATCATTTTCTTTGATTTCGATAATATGTAAAACGAGTTACAGTTGATCTTGGGAGTCAGTAGTCAGCAGTCACTGTAGACAGTAGTACTGACTATTTTATGTTAGACTTAACATAAAATATTAGACTGTAATCAAAACTAAAAAAAAAACAAGACTTTCAGCATGAATAGACAGATAACGTGAAGCGGTAAGAAGTTGAAAACAATTTAAAGATTCCAATGGGTCATGTTTGTAAGACATTCCTCCATGACAAGATTTACTTTAAAATTAGTCTTAATCCTCATTAACATAAATAATACTAAAGTTTGTATGGGCGACAATAGATTATCAATTTTATTTGGCCGTTCATAACTAGTCAACTAATCAATCAATCAATCATTGACAGCCTTTAATAATCCCCTGCTGGACGTAGGCCTCTCCTTAGAAAAGAGGTTTTGGCCTACTATACCATCAATTGGATTATGAATTGGAAGGATTTCCTTCTCTTTACAATGCTGTTATCATGAGTAGCTTGCTCCCTTAGCCGGCTCTTACACCGCCCACGGGAAGAATAGGGGTGGTGACACTCTGTATTCTTAATCCGTCACCACACGGACTACCGTTCATAACTAGTACCTACAATTGATTGACTTATAAATGAACAGAATTTATATGTAGTCAACATATAAATTTAATTATATTGAATAATACGTCTACACACATATATTACTAACCTTTAAGTTTGTGTAAGCGAAGACGTGGGAAAAAAGTAGTTAAGTAAAGTAAATGCTGAAGTACTACTGCGATACGAATGAGTAATAACGAAGCGTAGTATTAGAGTCAGATCTCATAATTAACTTTGAATAGGTATTATACGGGTATAAAACTTTAATACAATTCAAGTTAAGAACGGAATATCTGAGAGACCAAATCGGCACTTAGTGGTACTGATCAATTAAAGCAAAAATATACCAATCAACACCCTAAAAAGTATATTAGTTCTAATTACAGTAGAATATTAAGATAACGTAGGTACTTACCTCTATATCTATTATTTAACATAAAAATAATAGTGCCACACATTTTTCGTTTTAAGTTAGAAGCAAACGTAGAAATTTGAATTGAAAAAATATCCCAAAGAGGTATTTTAGATCGAATGAAAATTAAATATGTATCACACCCACTGCCAAAAAATCAACCTCATGTAGAGCCATGCTTCTAACTCTACACGCCCTAACTCTATAAGCATAAGCCCTAACTTCACAATCTCTACACCTTAATCAAAATATGTGGCATGGCCGTTTTGTTACTACAACAATATTATATAACAGATAAGTAATGAACAGTCAATATTCAAATAAACAATATTCACTGTTCTTTATCATTCTGTATTTACAAGCCGTAAAATAGAAAACCAGTTTGTACAATTTTTCTCATGTTCTCTATATTAGCCAGTGATGGAAGAACCCGTTGGGTTTCATTTTCACGAGGAAGCGCTATGCTTCGGCACATATGGATTGCCTCGACCGGAGTGGCCACTACAGGTAAATTTCAACGAAATTCTAAGAAAGAGAGAGAGATGAGAACCCCTGCAGGCCTTAGCCGCCAGGCATGGGCAACTACATGGAGTGGTCTCCCGAAAAAGAGAGGCCAGCGCTTATTGAGTCGCAGACCAATAGGCGCTCTCCTGCGCATGGTCCGAATTTAAATTTTAGTGTTCAATTCCCTAAAATACCTTCTCTAAATTCCTAATGAGCCGATGGGTTTGAGCCGATTGTCTGTACTATAGACTGTACTGTTGTGTCGCATTGTGGTTTCTATCATATGTAACATGATATATGTGTATACATGACATAACATTAAATTCTGAGGAGTTAGCGTCATAAAGCAAACCAAACGTGGGAACTTCTCAATAAATATTTAAAATATAATT